GCCAGTGAAAGCCGACGCACAGGTTTACAGACCTCTCTGAATCCCAAGAAGGGGATTCAATGGGATCTTTTATCCTGGTCGGAGGAGAAATTACCAAACGTCTAGCATTCCCTCACGCTTGGCGCCAATGAGGTTTTTATTTGAGAGTAAAAAGCTCTATCTCTACCTTGTTCCATTTTGGCCCTCCAACTCTATTTTATATGTTCCATTTTGGCCCTCCATCTCTATTTCTTATGTTCCACTTTACACAAAAGTTGAAACCAGTGCAAAAAATCTAGCCTGTTAAATATGAGGTGTAATAAATATCCAATTAAATGTTGCCACCTGATTTTTTCATCTATGTCAAACGGGTCAATACTAAAATACCTGAACCCGACCGTATTTTTGTGAGTTTATTTCATCTAAACGGGCCAGGTATGAAATATCAGAAACAGCAATACAAACGCACAGTTGAGCTCGAGAAGAGCTCCAATGGCGGGAATGGAGACTTGGAGAGGAAGATTGAAAATGAGGGCATTTGCAAGAGGGAGGAAAAATGAATTTGGAAATGAAAGTCTCATTTCTTTAGCTCAACTAAAGTGTATATATATACAATGCAAAACAGAAGAAAATCAGCAGAGCACAAAACCCAAACTAACTCCTAACTAACTAACGAACTTTGGGAAATCTAACTAACTCAACTAACTGCTAGGTACTACTCGTGATGCTATACGTACAACTACCCTGAACAAATATAAATAATACAATACAGAATATCCAGTGAACTCAATACCCCCCCCCCCTCAAGTTGGAGGTGAGGCTGTCACTGCCAACTTGCTAAGAATGTTGGAATGTTTGATCCCAGTTAATGCTTTGGTAAGAATGTCGGCAAGTTGATGATCAGTCCTAATATGATAGAGAAATGAGCCCTTCCTGTAATTTGTTTCGAACAAAATGGCAGTCCACCTCAATATGTTTCGTTCATTTATGGAATACTGGGTTCCTTGCTATGTGGAGTGCGGATTGGCTGTCACAAAAGACCTCAATAGGACTGGAGAAAGGGACTGTGAGCTCTTCAAGTAGCCTTTGTAACCACACTAGTTCACCAACCACCTTTCTAATGGACCTGTATTCTGCTTCAGCTGATGACAAGGAAATGGTTTCCTGTTTCTTTGATTTCCAGCTAATAGGGCTATCTCCCAATAGGACAACATACCCTGTGACTGACTTCCTGGGCTGGGCATGATGCCCAATCAGAATCACAGTATGCCTTCACTGTATAATCAACATTCTTGGAGAAGAAGACTCCTAGGCTGGGATCAGCCTTCAAGTACCTCAATAGGTGATATGCTGCTTTCAAGTGTGGTTCCCTTGGATCTTGCATGAACTGGCTTAGATGTTGAACACTAAAAGCAATATCCAGTCTTGTGTTAGTTAGAAAATTCAATTTCCCAACTAGCTTCCTGTAGCAACTGGGATCTGACAAGGGAGCACCTTCTTTTGCCTTTAACTTCACACCTGGATCAAGGGGAGAGGATAATGAACTACAGCTGAGACAGTTATACTCTCTTAGAAGATCAATGACAAATTTTCTTTGGGAGATGATGACTCTATCATCTTTATAAAGAATTTCAAGGCCAAGGAAGTACTGAAGTCTCCCTAGATCCTTGATCTTGAAGCTATCATGTAAAAACTTCTTTAAAAGCCTTATTTCTTCTAGGTCTGTTCCTGTAAGTATCACGGCATCAACATACACTGCTACACATACCAAAGATGCCCTATTTTTTTTGTAGAACAATGAGCATGGAATGTTCATAACCTCTGGAACATAGTGCTTCTGTCAATTTTGCATACCATTGCCTGCTAGCTTGTTTCAAGACATATAGGGACTTGTTTAGCCTACAGACTAATCCTGGTTTAGACACTACTAGTCCAGGGGGGACCTCCATAAACACTTCTTCATTCAAATCTCCATGAAGCAAGGCAATGTTAACATCTAGCCGAAATATGTTCCACCCTCTCTTGACTGCTACAACTATGAGTCCTCTCACAGTGGTCATCTTTACCACTGGTGAGAAGGTTTTTGTGTAATCAATTCTCTCTTGTTGTGTGTATCCTTTTACTACCAAACGAGCCTTAAACCTTTCAATACTTCCATCAGCTTTATGTTTCACTTTATACACCTGCCTGCAGCCTATGGCTTTCTTCCCTGCTGGTAGTGGAACTAGATCCCATGTGTTATTAGCATGTAATGCCTCAAACTCTTGTGTCATAGCCACCTGTCAAGCAGGATTAATAACTGCTTCTTCATATGAAGAACGCTCATTGTCTTGACAGACACTTTGCATCAAAGACTGACTATCATGGATTAGAACCTCAGGGGAGACAGAATGATGGTTTGACAAAAGTGCATTTAAAGATGGTATACAACTGTTTGAGTGCAATTTAGGTACATTATGAATGTAATCATTCATGCAGGTGTTTTGATTTCTCTTTGGGTTCTCCTAAGATAAGGATTATTCTGGTTACTTGTTTGAGGAGGATAATTGCTCAAAGCTGGTACATTAAGGTCTGGTGCTAGAGAAGATTCTAGAAAAGAAAGACTATCAATAATGTAACTGTTGGGAGGTGATGTGGATGTGGTACTAGCAGGTAATATTTCATTGTCACCAACATGTGACAGTTCATTGTCCATGTGACTTGCACCATTTGGATTATTTTCTATATTAGCTTGAACATTGTTATTAGTGTCATCCACAAAGTCAACAAAAGGAACACATTTTAGCACAGAAGGAAAAGAAGAAACATCTGGAACAATTGCAAAGGGAAAAATATTTTCATGAAAAGATACATCTCTTGAGATTTGAATCTTCTTAGTAGCAAGACTTAGGACTTTATACCATTTGACTCCAAAGGGATAGCCTATGAAAACATGTGGAATGGCTCTAGGTTCAAATTTGTCCCTATGGACTTTAGGTACTGTTGGGTAACACAAACAACCAAAACTTCTCATTTGAGAGTACAATGGTTTCATTTTGTATAGGATTTCAAAGGGACATTTGTTTTTAAGGTATGTAGTGGGTAGTCTGTTTATGATGTAGGTTGCTGTTAGCACACATTCTCCCTAGTATTTCAAAGGCAATTTTGACTGGAATAAGAGTGCCCTAGCTGTTTTAAGTAAATACTTATGTTTTCTCTCCACCACACTATTCTGTTGTGGTGTGTATGGGCAGGATTTTTGGTGAATGATCCCTTTTGACTGAAAAAAGGTATTACTTTCTGAATTGGTAAACTCTAAGCCATTATCTGTTCTTATGGCTTTTATGGTAGTCTTGAACTGGTTTTCTATCATTGAAATGAAGGCTTTAATGACTTGGATTGCATTGCTCTTGCATGCCAAAAGGTGTGTCCATGTAGTTCTGCTGAAGTCATCAACCATAGTGATGAAATACTTGTAGTTATCATGAGTGGTGGTGTGATAAGGTCCCCAATGGTCCACATGTAACAGTTCAAAAACACCACTAGAAGTACTAGTTCTTTGAGGAAAGGGTAATCTGTTTGTCTGGCCATAGGACATATTGAGCACACAAAAGGTTGTTTAGAAGAAAAAGTTACAGGTATAGATGCTATTCCCTTCATCTTTACAAAGGGCACATGCCCAAGTCTATTGTGCCACAGAGTATCATTCTCATGAGATGTATGGGAATTTAGAGAAACACAATTCTGACTTTATTTACAGATGAAGGAACATCTACATCAATGTCACTACTAGCAGATGCTGTTTTATTCAGAAGGGGATTATATACACATGGAAAGTAAGCATCTTGAACATCACATTGGTAAGCAGACAAGCAAGGAACAGAAAACTTGGCTGTAGTTGAGGAAGAACTGGTATCTTTGTGTTTCAAGCATTGAGAGCACAAGAGGTAAAGTCCATCCTTGACTCTACCAATCTCCAGAGGCCTCTTCAGAGAAGGGGCCTGCAACATACAAATACCATCAGTGAAGAATGCAATTCCTCTGAGGTGTAGAGTCAACAAATGAATAGAAATGAGATTGTACTTAAAAGAAGGAACAAAAAGGACTTTGTGTAACACAATCCTAGGTGCAAGCTTCACACTTCCAACTTCTGTTACTTTAGCTTTGTAGCCATTTGGTAATATGACTAATAGGGGATAAGGTAAGACAATGATATCACACATAGAAGATCTATTGAAGGTCATATGGTTTGAGACCCCTGAATCTAGTATCCATGTATCAGCCTTAGATTTAAAGCACCTACATGACAATTTGCCAAAATCAATTGAAGAGGTACAGACTACAATACCTGCAAAGTTGGCAGCTCCAGAACTCAAGTTCAAATTGTTGGGATCTTCCCCTCCATTATTGGTTTTGATGTGTTGTATCAAGCTCATGAGCTGACCATATTGTTCTTTGGTGAAACTCATTCCCTAACTCTCATTGTGGTGCTCATTCTCATCTCCATTGTTAGTCATCATGTCAGTTGAAGGGCCATGGACATTTGCCACTGCTCTTTTTCCTCAGTTGAACCTGAAACCTTGATTGGGATTTTGGAAGTTCTGATTAGCTCCTTGAACCCTTTGATTGTTGTTTTGGAAAGATTGGTTAGAGTTCTGGAATCCTTTAGGGTATCCATGGAGTTTATAGCATTTATCTTTGGTATGTCCTGGCTTCCTACAATGCTCACACACAGGACGGGGTCTGCTATTGGATGTGTAGTTGTTTCCTGGGTTATAATTGGTCTTGAAAGTGGGCTGCTTAAAAGTATTGACATTCAAAGAGGTAGACTCGAACATGAACTGGTTGCTAGGCTTGATCTCCCTTTGCTTTTCCTCATGAATCAGCAGGGAGAAGGCTTGGGCCAATGATGGCAGGGGATTCATCATGAGAATGCTTCCCCTTACTACCGTGCACGCTTCGTTGAGCCCCATAAGGAACTGGATCAATCGTCTATCTTGTTCAGCTTTGTGCATGTTCTCCTTGGCTCCACAAGTGCAATTTCAACTGCATTGTGTTTTTGCACTTAAAGTGCTAAATTCTTCCCATAGTTTCTTTATTCTAGTATAATACCCAGTTATATCCAGTGTTCCTTGCGACAGATCATTTATCTCTTTCTGAATTTGATACAGCTTTGCACCATTCGTCTGATCATAACGATCCTCTAGCTCTTTCTACAACTCGACAGAATCATTAACGTACTCCACACTATCAGCAATCTCCTTCCCCAAGGAATTCAAAATCCATGAGGTAACCATATCATCACATCTCTCCCACAGTCTATACTTTGGAGATTCTAGATCTGGTTTCTTATAATCACCATTAATGAAACCTAGTTCATTTTTAACTGACAGTGCTCGAAGCACACTTCGTCTCCAGGATCTATATCCAATTCCATTAAATGGAATTGGTACTAACATTGCACCAGGATTATCCGATGGATGCATGTATAGTGGACTACTTGAGTCAATGGCGAACTCCTTGTTTGAGTCCACATCGATGTGTTCGATTTCTTCATCATTAGCCATGAGAATTGCTTAATCAACAATATATGAGATGCGGAGAGGAAAATAGAAACAGAGATTTAAGAACCCTAGCTTTTCGCAAAGACAGAAGTTACCTGCGATTGAGAAATGCAGATTGAGTTAACGACCATCTATACCAATCTTATGCGCGTAAGATCAACCGTGCTCTGATACCATATCAGAAACAGCAATACAAACGCACAGTTGAGCTCGAGAAGAGCTCCAATGGAGGGAATGGAGACTCGGAGAGGAAGATTGAAAATGAGGGCATTTGCAAGAGGGAGGAAAAATGAATTTGGAAATGAAAGTCTCATATATACAATGCAAAACAGAAGTGTAAATGCCTAATTTTTGCCCCATCTTTTTCTTCTACATATATATATATATATATATATATATATATATATGTGTGTGTGTGTGTGTGTGTGTGTGTGTGTGTGTGCGCGCGCGTGTATGAGTGTGTGTGTTTTTCTTATTTTTGTATGTATAAGTTTTAAGAGTTGATTAATGGTTTGATAAATGGGGTAGGGATTGGACTAGTGTATTTTAATTAAAATTGAGCCAAAATTGGCCCAAAATTAGAAGCCCAAAGAGCCCAGATCCGGTCCAAATAGGGCTGCCATTAGAGCACAAAATGGCGTAGTTTCATACCTAAAATACGTCATTTTGATAAGTAAGTCTAAGGTCTAATCTCATCCGTTCAATTGCCTTGATCCAACGGCCCTTATCCATCTCCTACCCAGGTATTTAAACCTATAATTCCCCAAAAATTTGGCCCCATTTCCCCTTAATCCCCCTCTTCTTCCTCTCTCTTCTCACCCTCTCTCACTCTCTGACCCATGTCCCCAGCGCCGCCCGCCGGAATTCGCCACCGGCGGCGGCCAACGTCCAAAGCCCGTAAAACCTATACCAATCTCTTCCTCTCTTTACCCTTTCTCCTAATCCGAGCCCCAAATCCTCTAAAACCCCTCTAAATTCCGTGAAATCAAAACCCTAGATGCTGCCTCTTACTTCCCTCTTCGATTTCACGGCAAATCGGACCACCCCATCACACAAACTTCATATAAACGTGTAGATCTCCACGAAATCTACATTTTTCCTCTAGTTTTACCCCAAAAAAAAAACCCCACCGCCGCCGGACAAGCACCCCCACTGCCGTCAACCGCCGCCACCGCACTGCCCCCTTTTGTTTTAGCTTATTCCGACCCAAATATGTTCGTTTCTCTCTAGCACGACGTTGAAGCTCATTGGATTCAACGTGTGGTAGAAAGAAACGCTCGTTTCAAGGTCGGACAGCCACCACCTCGGTGCTTCCTCGTTTCTTGGGTTAGCCTCGATCTCCTCGTGAGGTAAAACCTTTATCCCTTTCCCTCGTTTCTGATTTTCGGTTCTGTTTATTAAGACTAGGATCATATTTAAGTTTCCATCTTGTTTAATCTCACGTAATTGGGTAGTATTTTTCAATTAGTTTCAGTTTTGATTCAATTTGTTTATATCATTTATAGGTAGTTTTAAGTGTTGGTTTCGACTCATGTATATTAGTTTGAATTATGCATTTTGTTTCAAAGTTTAAGTCTTTTGGTTAATATGCACTCGTTTAGTATTGTTTGTATTAATCGTGTTATCCATTTTGATTGGCGCATCCTGGGTAGCATGATCAATTCTGTTAGTTTACCTTGTTTTATCTATTCATGTTTAATATTTGCTAGATTCAAATCGTGTATTGGTTTGAGATTATTAGTTGGTAGTTTGGTTGTTTCATGTTGGTTCAGGACCATTGTTTGACTGTTGGATTGATTAGCTTCTAGTTCTGTTTGTAAGTTCTTCTGTTAACTGATTGATATAGGTTATATAAGGTTCAGTTAGTTTGTTTATTTGTGTTAATTGATCATCATTCAAAGTCATCAATGGTCTTGATTTATTCTGAAGTATGGTTAATTTGTTTAGTTGAGTCATTGATAATTTCAAGACATGAGTTCATTTGTTCTAATGAAGTGATAATCTATAGGTTGAATGCTTGATGATAGTCTGTGTTGAAATACTTAGTATATTATCATTTCAACAGTTGTGAGTGTATTTTAGTAAGATTTGAGTAATATGAGTCATGTGTTTGGTTTAAACATAGAATCTGGTTTGAAAAATTAAGAGGAAAGGGAAAGAAGAGAGAATACTTGAGTGTAGGGTCCTTTGTTTGGTTGCTTTTACTGTTGCGGACTGTTTTGGAGTACAATACTCCAAAATTCTGTCCACAATTGGTAAGAAAAACTATTCATTGACCAAAATTCTGGTTTTGGACAGATTTTTGGTCAAAAATCTATCATTTTGGACAGATTTTTAGCCAAACAAAAATCTGTCCCAAGGCCTTTCCTCCCCCTATAAAAAGAAGATCTTGGACTCTAAAAACACACTTCTTACACACTTATGCAAAAGAATACAACTTTGAGAGTAAAAAGAGCAACTGAACACCTAAATAGTAAGCTGAAAATTCTGAGCTAGAGTGAGTGATTTCTCAAGTGCAAAACCTTTAAGAAAGTAGAGGGATCTTGTGTGGATTTTCCAGAGGGACTCATTTCTGGTTTCATTACTTGGTTGGTCATCTCTGGTTCATTTTCTTTGGTCTAAGAGCTGCTGGTTGTTGCTGTTTGTTGTTGCTGGTCTGTTGCTTCAGTCATTGCTAAACATTTTTTTACTTTGTGCTGTTCAGGTAACGTTCTAAACTTTTGTAATGCAGGTTCCTTTTCTTTAATAGCAAATGATGAAAAGTTGGGCATGTTTAGATAGCTTCAAGCAATTTTCTCAAAGGATTTGCTGAATGTTTGAATGCCAAAACCTGCACATTCATAACCAGTTTCATAGTTGTATTTAAATAGTCTAGTTTATTTTGTTTTGACCCACCTATGTTCCTCGTTGTTAGTTTAAACTGTTTGGATCTGGTACATACTCTAAAAGAACAAGAGAATGAATGTTTCAATAAGTCGCAATATGAGTTTCGTTTAGTTTTTCTATCCACAAAACCATGTACTTTGCCCTTGTTATGTTTGAATGCTTCTGGAAGGTGGGTGTGGTTGATTTCTGATATCTTACAACTTTCTGTTAAGTTCCTTATGTGAACAAGTAAGGGGCTTGTCTCATGTAATGAAAGATTTGCGATAACTTGTAGACTTATTTTGGCATAATTCATTTTGACCCTTTTTGAGCTATATAGANTTTTATTTATATATATATATATATATATATATATATATATATATATATATATATATATATATATATATATATATATATTTATTTATTTATTTATTTATTTTTATATATATATATATAGTAAATCAAGAGTTCATTAGTTCTAACTAGTTGCTGGCTCATTTCACCATTGGCAAGAAGTTGGCCATTTCTTTAAAATAGATAGAGTTGGTTTTACATTAATTTGCCTTGTTTTCCGTAAAAAAATAGATTTTTTTTCATTAATTTAATTACCTAATCATTTCTAGTAATTAATAAAAGCGCTAGACAAATTTTAGGAACAACTGTAGCTTTATATTAGTTTCGTCATTTTAATTGATAACAACAACAATAAGAATAAGGTTATAGTAAGTTCAATATTAACTAAGTTTTTTACATTTTCTTACCACCACTAAGCTACAAATATGCACTTTCTTTTGCGACAAAAATGAATAATTTGTTATTTTTATTTTATAATCTAACCCCTATAGTAGGCCGTCTTACCCAAGGTAAATAATTTTGTCTTAACCGATGTCGGGAAGACTCGCTTCGGAATAAAGACATAAATAAAATGTCAAGGTCGTGAGGACACGCCTTGTTCCAATTCTTTCAAATAAATAATTTTTTATTTAATTGCTTTCGAGCAGGCTTCAGTTTTAGGTGCGACGCACGAACTAAGATCGGGAATACTCGTCCTAGTTTAAAGTTAATAAAGTCATCAACAATAAAAGTTGTCATAGGCAAACATAAAATCAAATAAAACATCGTTTTATCTAAAGATTAATTCAAGCCAAATCTAGTCAATAAAAGCAACCGTGCTAGAACCACGGGACTTGGGGAATGCCTTACACCTTCTTCCCGGTCAACAGAATTCCTTACCCGGACTTTGTTTTTGCAGACCAATAATAATAGAGTCAAACCTTCCTTCGACTAGGGATTCAAACAAAAGGTGACTTGGAACACCCAAAAAATCAATTCCAAGTGGCGACTCTGAGCAATAAAATAATCCCTACTCAAGTTTTGTCACTTTAATTGGAAAAACTCTTTAACCCCCAAATCCACAATATTCTTTTCGGGATAGAAAAGGGGTGTGACAAGAAGAAAATCAGCAGAGCACAAAACCCAAACTAACCCCTAACTAACTTACGAACTTTGGGAAAGCTAACTAACTCAACTAACTGCTAGGTACTACTCGTGATGCTATATGTACAACTACCCTGAACAAATATAAATAATACAATACAGAATATCTAGTGAACTCAACGAAATCGACAGATGAAATCTTTAGAACTTAGAGAATGAAGATGGGGCAACAGTGGATGAAAAAATACGATCGGTTTAGGTATTTTAATATTGACCCGTTTGACATGGATGAAGAAATCAGGGGGCAATATTTAATTGAATATATATTACACCTCAGATTTAACAGGCTATATTTTTTGCACTGGTTTCAGCTTTTGTGTTAAAGTGGAACATAAGAAATAGAGTTGGAATGGAACATATAAAATAGAGTTGGAGGGCCAAAATGGAACAAGGTAGAGATATAGTGCCAAAATAAAAAATGATGCCAAATTGAATGAGATATATATGTATTTGGCCTATGACTAATTAATTTGACATTAGAAAGTAATAGAGCGATGTTGATTATAGCAGAAACTAAGTTGGTCTCCGATGTGTTGGCTTTGTTAGCAAGTACAAAACCCCGTTCAAAAACTTGTATGAAGACGGATCTTTTGCGGCATATCAGTTCTTCCATACCAACTTAGCTGCCCGACGCTGCTTATTGCCTTCTGCTCCAAGTACATTTATGTAATGTAATGAACCCCTGATATCAATTACGGTATATATATGTCGCTCCATTTTATTCCAGTACTTAATAATTTGTGTAACAACACAAATTAATTCCAACAAATGTAAGTGCACCAACCAAAACGAAATTTTAGTGCTTAGCACGACCAACTTTTATTTCAGAAAACTTTTCGTGACTTCCTACGTAACCTACATACACACGCTAAATGTTGCACCCATTATTGCGAACCCATACTAGGCTTTACGTCTACTGACTTAAAATCTTTTATTCGCTTCTACTTATTAGGTTTTGTGAATGGAAATGAAAGATGCACCTTTTGAATTGAGACTTTTTCATTGTCTATAAATTTAGAGACTTAGCCTCATTTTTTATACATGGAAAATCTGAAAACTTCTCCATTTTTTCTACATTGTTGTATTATTTTTCAAATAAATATAAGTGTCACGTGTGATTTGCTCCGTTTGTTGAGTTCGTCTAAAGTTCTGTGATACTGTTGCCCAAGGTTATGGATTACTTCCTCTTAGAATAGAACGAGAAAAACTATCTGTATACTGACAATCGAAATTACAGATTCAGTGAATGCGAAGTGTTTGGGCACGGGTTGGGCATGATATCAACTTATTAGTATTATTAGTTTGCTTTCTGCATTCTGTATGGTGACAGCAAACATGCCACGGATATGCAGTGTTGATATTTTTCTTGAAGATATTGGAGCCTTCAATTAGCACCCATTGACTCCTTTCCGACTTTTAGATTCTATTAAATGTTTTCACATGCTTGAGCTTCCTTTCCAACTTGCAAATCATATAAAATTGTAATATCAAACTGCAACTTCAATCTTGATCATGCACTAAACTAACTGCAATATGAAATAAGTAAAAAGGCAGCCCGGTGCACTAACTATGCGCGGGATCCGGGAAAGGGACGGACTATATATAAGAGTTTGTTTCCATGGCTCGAACCCGTGACCTCCTGGTCACATGTCAACAACTTTACCAATTACGCCAAGGCTCCCCTTCAATCTGAAATAAGTATTATAAAAAATCTTAATTGATCCATCTATCTTGAATGATCAAAGTAAACTTTAATTTCCGTCTTGAATAAAATTAAAAAAGGCAGCCCAATGCATGAAGTATCCTGCATTCATGCAAGGTTCAGGGAAATAGCGCACCCCAATGGGTGTAATGTAGGCAGCTTATCCTAATTCTTAATGCAATTATTAGTGACTGATTCCACGGCTCGAACTCGTAACCTATAGATCACACGGAAATAACTTTATCATTGCTCCAAGGTTCCAATTCAATATTATTATTCGTATATTATTTGTTTACCGTGAAAATGGTAATAACAATTAAATTTGATTATGGGATTCTAAAAATACGTGATCTATTTTTATGTCGGTTGGTAAGCAGTTGATGCTATGTAAAAGACTTAGAAGCGAGATAAGAGCTTGAAGATGAGATATTAATCAAACCGAATTACTGCCCGTCGGGGGCTCGAGGCTGCTTATTCGGGGCGTCGAGGTCGAGTTGAACGCTCGGCTGGGAGCTATTGAGGGTAGTCGATGGGCGACTAACAGTTATAATGAGATCAATGACGGCTCTTTATGGCCAATAATAAGCAATAAATGAAGAACAATAAATATAATACAATGAATGTAAGCAATAAATGAAGCAATGAACTCAGGAGAATATGTTAGAGGGCAGAGAGAATGTTCTCGTGTATTTTGATATGGAGCAACCGGTACCTTACAAAATGACAAGGATCCCCTTTATATATGAGGGGAATCCCAACATAGTACATAATGCATTAGTTACAAAGATATGAAGATGGGACAGCTAGATGACGCCCTGATTCGGGTTTAGAGTAGCCCACTAGACTTTGTCAGCCCTAGCTGTGTGCCTTGGGAACTCCCCATTTCTACCATAGCCGGGGTCAACATTGTCCCAAGGTCGAGCGTCGACGAACCTCGAGGGAGGAAACTCGACCGTAGGCTTGTAGCCTCGAGCCTTCGAGATGATCTTCTGAGGTGCCTCGATGACGAGGAATTGGACCCTCCGATTTCACCGTATACATTATTGTAGAAGGTAGAGAGTGACGTGACTAAATCAAAACAACCAAAGTACTCATTCGATTTAATGGCAACACATGTGATATTAAGGAGCTGAAAATGACGGTTTAATGAAGTCGAAGTACTACGTGCGTACGTAGACTTGTGGTTTACTTGAATTATCTATAAATAACAAGAAGCTTTTACATTTCATTTGCCACTGCCTAATGCCGTGATTCTCTGGCTTACGCCTCTCAATTGCTCTACCTCTCCATTTTGCCAAAGGTAATGCTCTTCTCTTACTTTAGTTGAAGTATAGGTCGTCGATTCAATCTATCTTGACGGAATTTTTCTATTTCATCCGAAACTAGAGCTAAAAACGCTTCATTGTTTCATTCTCATTCTTCATTTTCTTATTTCTCAACGACGTCTTCAATCTTTGTGCTTTCTAATCTACAGTACGCCCGAAAATCTTTTCAAACCTTAGTCAAGGCTACTTAATTCTTGTTGCACCCCAATTTCTAAAGGGCGGGGGTGTTGAAAAACTAATTCAAAGTTGTAGTAGGAAATCTTGATCGCTTAGGATTTGATATTTGCTAGTTTATTTAATTCATGTCTAAATTGGATTTGTGGTCAGAATTATTATAGGAATAAGCTTTCCTATTTTTAGTTAAAATATGTTTCGTGTTATTATAAATAGGGGTATTACTAACTTATATTATGACTTATGAGTGGAGATTTGTGAGAACAGTAGAGAGCTTTCGTAGATTTATAACAAAATATTTTCCTTTAGAGGGCGAGGGTTTTTTTGTGGTATTAATTGCAAACTCATCCCATTTTTCCATCCAAAGTTTGCATAGTTTCTTTATATTCTCTCATTCTTGTCACTATGTTATTAACATGTCTATATGATAGATTTCATTGCTCGTTTTCTTCTTAATTAGTCTAATGTAATTGCAGAAAAGGATATTCTTTTCTAGTATTTCTCATTTTATTAGTTTCACAAAAGAAATTGAGCATAGGTAGTGTTTATGAGTTAACTGTTTTATGTTGTCCTGGTGTAATAGATGAATTAAGTTTTATCTTTATTTGTTAGTTTGAGATTTTAGTCAATAAGTTTCGGCCTAATGAAACATCTCAAATTCCACTCAACCCTAAATCTTATCTGCCGTAATAATTTGTTCTATAGTTGTATTTTTTATGTCTGATGAATCTCATCCCTGTATAGTTGGAGCTTTTATATCTTCAGACTATTAATTGAGCCAATTAGTTGAAATTACGTGCTAGTCATGTTAGTATATTTACTTTAGTTACAGTGCTTTCTAGGAGTCTTTTGGTCCTAATTGAGATTTATATGCCAACAAAAATTTATACAGAACTTCTAGTGCTTTTAATTTTATGTATATAATATCAGATAGAGATGAGCTTAAACGGAGCGACAAGGACTTTAGGATTTATGTAGCCATGCCCAACTTGCTTGTGACTAAGGAGGTTATGGTTGTAGTAATCGGAAAAGCAATTTTCAGTTAAAAATAATGGTTTTAACAGAATTTTTAGAGAAAAAGCCGACATGTGTTTTATATCATCTTGGAATATTAGCTATTTTTTCTTAGATTTAGGTCTATTATGCTAGTAGTGATTCAATATTGTGTTTGTTATTTATGTTTTCAATTTATTTCCTCGTACTTTTGGGAAATCATAATCCCTTTAGTTTTAGGAAACTCATTATTCTAATAGATTTTGGAAAGAAAAACATATTGTACTTTTAAGATTGGGAAAACCTTTCTTTTCTAGGTTTAGGACTACTTCAGATCTATATATATATATATATATATAGGGGTTGTAGTTGGAGATTCATATTGAAAAACTCTCTCTGCTGCCCCGAGGAGTAGGTTTTGCTAAACCTCGTTAAATTCTTGTATTATTTTTCTTTACTTTCTGCGTTGTTGTGTGATTGTGCGCTAGTTAATCCACGATCTTTCACAACAATGTTCTTGTTCTTTTTATGAATCTTCTAAATACAACTTAAGTTTCTCCCCAGGATAGGGGTAAGGTTTGCGTACACATTACCCTCCCCAGACTCCACGTTTGGGACTCCACTGGGTTTGTTGCTGTTGTTGTAAATACTTAAGTTTCTTTTGGATTGTTTCAACAGAGCATAAAATGCCGTCTGCTAGTCCTGATCCAATTGATGAAGAGAGGGAGCCATTTGCTGAGGTTGATCCATCCGGGAGATTCGGCCGATACACCGAGCTACTAGGCCATGGTGCAGTGAAGAAAGTATACAGGGCATTTGACCTAGAAGAAGGCAGAGATGTGGCCTGGAATCAGATTAAGTTGAGCAAATTCAGCGACACGCCTTATATCATCGATAAGATCCATTCGGAGATTGCATTGTTGAAGAACTTGAAGAATGACAACATCATAGTACTATATCATGTCTGGAAAGACAATGAACATAACATCCTCAATTTCATCACTGAGGAATGTGCCTCTGGTAATTTAAGGGATTATAGGAAGAAGCATCGTCACGTTTCGATTAAGGCGTTGAAGAAGTGGTCTAGGCAAATACTACAGGGCTTGGATTATTTACACACTCATGACCCTTGTGTCATTCATAGAGACCTCAATTGCAGTAACATCTTTATCAATGGGAATGTTGGAAAGGTAATTAATCAACTCATTCACTTTATCTTTAGTTGATGTGCATTTAAATCTGTTGAATGTTTAGCTTACTGTTTCTATCTTCTGAAGAATTTGAGATCTTAATCCTGAAAGTAATATTTGGAAGTGTGTTACTGTCTCAAGTAGTTAAATGGTAGTTATTCTGGGAATTCAAAAATTATCGGCACTGCGCATACGCTCGTGTGCGCGTGTGTGAAAAAATACTAAAATTTCAATAAACCAAAAGTACAGTGTATAAGAACCTTGTATAGGGTCAAATTTGACCCTCAGTATCTCTACGCCCAATGAGTGTACGCCGACCAACGTAGCGGGTACGACTCGGTCGTAAGGACCAAAGCGACGTCGTTTAGAACTCAGTGTCTATACTAGGGAGACGTTACATATCTCTGTAATTTTTTGATTCTTTCGAGGAAGGTCTCCTATTATGTAAAGGAGACCTCCACATTGTAAAAAGGGGGGTATCTAATCTAATACAACTCTCTCATTTTCTGTCTCTCTCTCTATATCACTACTTCTGACGAAAATACCTTATTAACATACATTGTCACTTTGCAATATTAGATCTACAACAACATTATCATCTTTGCATCTCTAGGCTTATTATATTTGATTACGATTTACCCCTTCTCTATTTTTTGATTGTTTTATCGCTTATAAAGTACATCGTTGAGTTTTGAGCCAAACAATTTGGCCACTGTGGGGATTTCGAGAATCAAAACCATAGTATCCACCTAGAGATCAACCAATTACTACTCTCTACACCACTCAAAAACAGAAAATGGCCGAAAATAACACAAGATCGAAAGCCATATTGGGTGTCACTACCAATCTCCTGGGCCCTCTCAACGAGGCCAGTGACGATGGCATCCTGAATGAAACCCCTAGCATAACACCAGGTGCAGAGTTCTCACCTTCCCATCCGAAGGCCTGGCGATCTTGCACGAAAAAGGAACTTCCACATCTGCGGCTACGGAAGCACTCTCAGCGGTCAAAGAGCTACTGGAAAGATGGCTAACAAGCACTCTAAGTGGCTTGGTTGAGAGGTCACCGCAAAATAACATCGTATGTGCACCAACAGTAGGCACCATTGCTGCAGCAGGTGAACCGGAAGTTACACTGGTAAATAACAGACCCATCGAGACACAGACCAACGATGGCACGCTAACAGCCATCCTAAAGAAGATGGAAGAAATGGAAAGCGAAAACAAGGCGCTCCGCGGTCAGATGAAAGGAATATCAGGAGAGGGTCGACAAGATCCCCGGTGCTCCCAAGTTGCTACCAAAACGCGACGTGGGAAGGTTCGTTGAACAACCATACACCGAAGAAGCTGCTCCTCACTCCACCCCAAAAACCTTCAAGATGCCACCCTACTTAAGGGTATATGACGGAACCACAGATCCCGAGGATCATCTGATCCACTACGTCACCGCTGTGAAGGGCAACGACCTATCGAAAGAACAGGTACCGTCGGTGCTGCTGAAGAAGTTTGGCGAGACGTTGAGAGGAGGGGCCTTAACATGGTACTCTCAGCTACCGGCTAAGGCAATAACAACGTTCGAGGAAATGGCGGATAAATTCGTCACAGCCCATGCAGGCGCGAAGAAAGCGGAGGCCAGGGTCAACGACATCTTCGCCATCAGGCAAAACACAGGAGAGGGACTCAGGGACTTCCTGGCAAGGTTTAACAGGGTAAGGATGAGTCTACCAAATATATCGGAAGGTATGGCAGTCGCCGCTTTCCAGAACGGGCTAAGCAGAGATGGTTCGAGGGCAACCAGGAAGCTGCTGAGCCGCCTCATGAAATATTCCCCTACCACATGGGAGGGAATCCACAACACCTATTGCGCCGAGGTACGAGCGGACGAGGATGATCTTAATGGGCCGACCCAACGGCTAACAGCGATACACTCAGAAACGAGAAGAGATCGACGGAACGAAGGACGACGAGAACAACTCCCCCGCTCCAACAGAGATCGACACCAGCCATACACCAGATCCTCCCATCCGCCACCAAGGCATACAGACGCACTACAGCGACACGTCGCCCCACTACGAAACGAAAGAGGTACGCCCCCTTTACTAACCGCCCATAACTTTTGTGTATCTCCTTCAGAGATAGTGTACGCACTGGAGAAGATAGGCACCAAGGTGCATTGGCCGCAGAAGATGAAATCAGACCCTGCCACAAGGAAATCAAACGCCCTATGTGAGTTCCATCAGGAACGAGGACACAAAACCGAAGACTGCATAGGCCTGCGGCAAGAGGTGGTCAGGATGCTGAACCAGGGATACCTGAGGGAGCTACTCAGCGACAAAGGAAAAATCAACTTTGCACGCGGACGGGAACAACCCCACGGGCCGCCGAAGCCACCTTCCCCAGCGCGCAAGATAAACATGATCGTCGGAGGCGGCGACGAGTCAGCGATCAATCACGTCAAACTCGCCACCACACACGGACTAAAGCGGACCATCGCCCATGAACGGTATGAGGACTTCGAAGATTGTATCACCTTCGATAAGTCTGATGCCGACGGTTTGTCTTTCCCTCATTATGATGCTTTAGTTATCACTTTACGTATCGCTGATACGGATGTTAAAAGAGTCATGATCGATGACGGAAGTGGCGCCTGTATTATCCACCCAAGGGTCCTCATACAAATGGGACTCGAGGATAAGGTAATACCGCGCTGCATAACACTAACCGGTTTTAACAATGCAGTGGAACGGACGTCCGGAGAAATAGCACTGCCCGTCTTAGCGGGAGGAGTCACGTTGGAAACAACTTTCCACGTGATGAACCAAGAAACGGCGTACAACGTCATCATAGGACGCCCGTGGATACACGCCATGCGAGCGGTCCCTTCAAGCCTCTACCAAGTGATCAAATTCCCTACCCCATGGGGAGTATTCAGTATTCGAGGCGAGCCACGCACCGCACAAGAATGCTACAAAATAGCCCAAGACTGCGCCCATACCCAACAGCTAAAGGGGGCGAGCGCGGAGGCATAGCAATTAGCCGTGTCGGGAACTAAGGTCAACCCGACAACGGACGTCATCAAAGACCCCGACGTCGTGGAAGCCTGTAAAGCAACGGTCGAAGACCTCGACCCAGTCCAATTGGACAAAACCGATCCTACGAAGAAAGCCTATAACGGGCAAGGCCTCGCCAACCCAAGTAAGTATTATGAATTCTTAACTAACCATGCAGATTTGTTCGCCTTTTCCATTCAGATATGCCGGGAATCCCGCGAGACATCGCCACCCACAAGCTGAATGTCGATCCATTACTTCCGCCCGTGCGACAGATGAGGAGAAAATTCAACGCCGCTATCAATGAAGCGGTCGGTAAGGAAGTAGACGAGCTACTAGCCAACGGCTCCATCAGAGAATCAAAGTACCCCGAATGGGTCGCCAATGTTGTCATGGTCAAAAAGAAAAACGGGAGGTGGAGAATGTGTGTGGATTTCACTGATCTGAACAAGGCATGCCCAAAGGATTCATTCCCACTACCCAACATCGACCAACTGATCGACGCCACTGCAGGACATGAACTACTGAGCTTCCTAGACGCCTACTCCGGCTACAATCAAATCATAATGGCCGAGGAGGACCAAGAGAAGACAACTTTCATCACCCACCAAGGGACTTACTGCTACAAGGTAATGCCCTTCGGGCTCAAAAATGCGGGGGCTACATACCAGAGACTGGTAACCAAAATGTTCAAAGAGCAGCTCGGTAAGACTATGGAAGTCTATATCGACGACATGCTGGTAAAGTCGACAAGAAAAGAGGACCACATCGACCATCTGAAAGAAACCTTCGAGATATTGAGAAGATACGGGATGAAACTGAACCCCGAGAAATGCGCCTTCGGCGTGGCATCAGGGAAAATTCTTAGGGTTTCTCGTATCACAACGAGGTATCGAAGTCAATCCAGATCAGATCAAGGCGATAGACGCAATACCAGAGATACTGAACAGCAAAAAGCAGGTGCAAAAGCTGACGGGGCGAATAGCCGCCTTGTCTAGGTTCATCTCACGGTCCTCCGACAGATGCCACAAGTTTTTCAATGTGCTAAGAAAGGACAATGGGTTACAGTGGAACGAGGAATGCGTCGAGGCCCTAAGGAAATTGAAAGCGTACCTGTCTTCACCGCCACTGCTAGCCAAAGCAAACCCAGGCGAACCACTGCTGGTGTATTTGGCCGTATCCGAGGTCGCCGTCAGCGCAGTCCTAGTTCGCGAAAATGAAGGTACACAATCTCCTATTTACTATATTAGCAAAACCTTAGTGGACGCCGAAACACGGTATCCACACCTTGAAAAATTAGCTTTGGCATTGGTCGTGGCTTCACGGAAGCTCCGACCCTATTTCCAATGCCACCCCATAAAGGTAGTGACGACCTTCCCCTTGAGAAGTATCCTACACAAGCCTGAGTTATCAGGCAGACTCGCCCGATGGGCCATAGAGCTCAGTGAGCACGATATCTCATATCATCCAAGAAACGCCATCAAGTCGCAAGTACTTGCCGACTTCAGCGCAGAGATACTACCAGAGGCAGAATTGGAGGCACGCCGTGCCCCCTCCAATGCCGACCTATGGACTCTTTACACTGATGGCGCCGCTAACGCCTCGGGATCGGGACTGGGACTCGTTCTCGAGGTCCCCACGGGCGAAACAATTCGCCAGTCCATACGATGCCCCGAGATGACTAACAACGAAGCCGAGTACGAGGCTGTTATTGCAGGTTTAAAACTAGTCGTCAAGTATGGAGCTCGACGACTCATTCTCCATTGCGACTCTCAGCTCGTGGTGAACCAGGTCACTGGGACTTACCAAATCAAAGAGCAGAGGTTGCAAAAATACCAGTCAGAAATCCACATGCTAATGACCGAGTTCAACGAGTGCCGCTTCGAACAAGTTCCGAGAGCACAGAACGTGGAGGCAGACGGCTTAGCAAAATTAGCCGCAGCCACTAAAAACTTCAACAAAGAAAGCGTGGTCACCCTCCTCCATTCAGCCATAGATAACACTGAGGTACTCTCTTTAAATTTGACTTGGGACTGGCGCAACCAATTTGTATCCTATCTGCAGGATGGAACACTCCCACTCGACAAAAAAGAAGCCAAGAAGCTCCGCGTACAAGCCGCCCGTTATTGCCTAATAAACCACAAGCTCTACAAAAGGACGTTTGGTGGACCCCTAGCCAAGTGTCTAGGGCCGCAACAAACGCGGCCAGTGCTCGAAGAGG